GAACTATCCAGGTACAATCTAAAATTTCGATCCTGTAAATTTCTCCGATTTCGAAATCGTAATCGAAGAAAAAAAAAAACAAAATCTGCACTTCAATTTTGTGATTTGATCGAATTGGGTCAAAAGAAAAATTTCAATGTAACGTGTTTCAAATTACTTCTGGGTTAGCTATCACTTCTTTAATTGGGTAATGATCAGATTTGTTTATCCTTTGTTGTATCGAGTTAATAGTCTATGCATTGTCGATAATCAGATTTTAGTTATAGATCTCAGTTTGTGGCTACTTCGAGAGGTTCTTGATTTTGAAATTAGGGAATGAGCTTTATAATACTTAAAGGGTTGACTCAATTTGGGGATTTTATTTGGGAGATTGGTGAAAAGTTTTGGTTTTGATGTTAATGGGGAAGATTTATTGATGCAATTGAGTATTTGCAGAGAAGGGAGAAGAAGGTGATTTGTTTTTTGTTTATTGTTGTGGAAAAAATGGATGATGTTGCTGGTTTACAAGAGGCAGCTGGAACAAGATTTAGCCAGTTTGAGTTAATCGGAAGAGGATCGTTTGGTGATGTTTACAAAGCGTAAGTGTCTCTGATACATTTTCTGAATTCTTGAGATTTTTCCAGTAGTTTTCTTATATCTTGATCAGAAGGAGGCTTTTTGTGTGTAGTGAATGCTACAGAACACGCTCATTTTTATTGCTGAATGATACTACATCGTTCATCTATTAAACTATGATTGGCATTAATTTATCATTTTAATTCATATCAATAGGAAAAGGTAGAATTTTGGCGGAATATGAATAGCCTTGATCTAGGAAACTCTGATTGGCATTAATTTTATAGTGTGTCCTATAAGGACTGACTAAGAAAAGTTGTGTGAATTGTGTCTACTTTATTCGTATGCTGAGCTGTTGTTGCCTCTGCTTATCAGGTTTGATACGGATCTTAACAAAGAAGTTGCCATAAAAGTTATTGATCTGGAAGAATCGTAAGTATTTGCGTTTTTATGTTTTTCTTGCTATCAAATATAATCTTGTATATGCTACTTGTTTGCGATTTTCAGATGCATTCATCTATATTTGATTCAGCTGTGGTATCCTTTTCTCAAGAATACCACAATGCTCAGTGCCCTTTTCTAACTAGCCCTTTTAATTCATATCTGACAGAGAAGATGAGATTGAAGATATACAGAAGGTACCGCTTGGATTGATGTTAGTTTTCTGTTCAGTATTAGCAATGCAAGATTGTCGTGTTCACGTTTTGTTATTAACCCCAGGAAATTTCAGTACTGTCACAATGTCGTTGCCCATATATTACCGAATACTATGGTTCTTACCTTCACCAGACCAAGTTATGGATCATCATGGAATATATGGCTGGTGGCTCAGTTGCTGACCTTGTATGTTATTTCACTTCTTTGCTGAGTTGAGAAATATAATTGTTTTCGGTGATGTGCACATCTCGGTGGAGTTCTTTTCATTACTTAAGTTCTTGTTGGTGCAAATTATAATCTCTTAAACAATATTGCTGAGTGTAGCTTCAACCGGGTCATCCATTGGATGAAATTTCAATTGGTTGTATTACGCGCGATCTACTTCATGCTGTTGAATATCTCCACGCTGAGGGAAAGATCCACAGAGATATTAAAGGTTTTCTCTGCTTATATATTTTAAAAATCTTATGGCTTTTCTTGATCCAACCGTGATCTCATCGCTTATTGCATGACCAAAAAAAATTCCTATATCTGCAGCTGCTAATATTTTGTTGTCCGAGAATGGTGATGTTAAGGTATTCTTTACTTCTTAAACTTAATTCATTAAATTCTTAAATTTCTTTAATGTCCGAGTGGTAGAGTTGCACTACTGATCTCCAACTTCTTTCACACATCAGGTCGCGGACTTTGGTGTGTCTGCACAATTAACCCGGACAATATCAAGGAGAAAGGTGCCTATCTTATTATGTTAATGAAACTCCTGATTCTATATCGTGTAACTTTCTTCATCACGGATTGTGCTTACTGCTAGTGGAAGCAGAATTCTCTTAAATATTCCCGCAGCCCACTCACTTTGTTACCCTTATTGCTGTGGCGTCGTCACATAATTTTTTGCATGTTTTTCCATAGTCTAAACATTCCAGTGTTCGAACATGTTGACATATTGAAAGCTGAAGGATATATAATTTTTTTAGTACACCCTTAGCTCTCACCTCCGATACTTTAGTGTTATTTTACAACTATTTGAGCTGCATTTGCTAATAATACAAAATTGACAGACATTTGTAGGAACACCATTTTGGATGGCACCAGAAGTGATTCAGAACTCAGAAGGGTATAATGAGAAGGTACCTCTCGTCCATCTGCCGTAGTTTCTTTGGTTTTTCTAGCTTATCAAATCTTTGTGTATGTCCTGGCTTTACTTGTTTTGTAGCCTTTCTAATCTTTGTCTGCTCTGTTGCTGGCTTGGTAAATCTTTTCCAGGCAGATATATGGTCACTCGGAATAACAATGATCGAGATGGCAAAAGGAGAACCTCCCCTTGCTGACCTTCATCCTATGAGAGTGCTATTTATCATTCCCCGGGAAAGCCCTCCTCAGGTCTCATATTTCTAAGTTTATTATTGGCACAAGAAAGGCTTGTTAGATGGTTGGAATGCATTGTTTGAGAGCAAACCTAATACTGTGATATGTCTTAACTGCAAATTCTCCTTTCATGAGCTAGATATTTAACTTTTGGTATTTCCTCCGCAGTTAGATGAGCATTTTTCACGTCCTTTGAAGGAATTTGTTTCCTTTTGCTTGAAAAAGGCTCCTGCTGAGGTACTTGTAGTGCAGTCTCTAATCTTTATAGCCATCAGTGACATGCCAATATCTCTCATACAACTCTTCCTTATACTTTCAGAGACCAAGTGCGAAAGAACTTCTCAAACATAGATTTATAAAGAACGCTAGGAAAAGCCCGAAACTTCTTGAGAGAATAAGGTGTGATGTTTGTTCACGTCAACAGCGTTGGTTTGTGGTTCCAGTTTATTACTCTGCTAAATTGATGGTGTGACAATAAATATGCAGCTTGATATTTAGATGGTTTTCCAATTTGTTTGTTATCTGCTTTATGCCCAAAGAAACTATAGAACAGGACGATTCTAATACTGTCTTTTTTTGTTGTTTGAAGAGAGCGGCCAAAATACCAAATAAAGGATGATGAGGAGATTCCAGAGAATGGTCCAAAATCACCGGTTGAATCATCTGGTACTGTTAGAGTGGCTAGAGATGAGAGAGGCCAAGGAACTAGGTTGGATAAATGGTCTACTTTTGGAATTTCTTTTCTCTTTCTTTTTTATCAAAATGTTAAGAACTTGTAGCTACAGTTTTCAGGGAAAAACTGTCAAAAATGCCGGGTGGGACTTTAGCATTGGGGGTTCCCAGGGTGCTGGAACTGTTCGAGCTTTAAAGCCTCCACAAGCTAGGGAAAGGCGCCAAGAAGTTAGTTCTAATTCGACTTTTCAGAAAACATCACGAGCAGTCCCCGAAATCTCAGAAGGAGGTTTTGTTAAAAGAGATTCGTATCAGAATGACTATCAAGAAGAAGTAAGATCCTTTGCCTCTTGTTTGCCTTGATACAGTCCATGTCTCACCTGAGACCATTCTTTCTTATTAGCAGACATTCCACAGAAAATTTCTCAATATATCATATGATCTGTTGTGTTTCAAGTTACTTTTTTAACCATTTTTAATTTGATTTAATCTCCTTTCACTTGGAGGAGTTTGTGACTTGATAATCAATATACAATAAAAGAACAGAAACAAGGTTGATCATACTTTTCTCATTTTTGTCATTCTGAATTTTCAGGATGATTCATCACTTAGTGGTTCCGGAACTGTTGTCATAAGATCACCGAGAAGCTCTCAATCATATTCAATGTTTCGAGACCAAAGCTCTGGGGTATTGGAATTCTTTCTCTTTTTTCCTTTTTCATAAAGCAAATCTGCTTGCTCTGCCTTGCTGTTTCAACAGCTAGTATGTCTTATTCAAGTTCTGCTGTGTAGTCTACCAGCAGGTATACGTCTTTTGAGGATGCTTCTACGAGTGGAACTGTTGTTGTCCGTGGGCAAACTGATGATTCTGTATCACCTCGAACACCAAAATCTAGACTAGGGCTTCAAGAAAGAACCTCCAGTGCCTCGGAAGATAGCACAGCAAATCTTGCAGAGGTTATTTAAAAACTTTTATCTTTTAAGGCTGTCTCTGAAATTACAAGTTATTCGCCTTTTTTCTTATTTGTTGAAACAATTAATTTCCAGGCAAAGGTAGCACTTGAAGCCGCTTTCAGAAGAGGGAATGCTAGGGAAAGACTTGGTAATGGGAAGGTTAACAAAAAAAGGGAACAAACAAAAGATACTTCTGATTACTTGAGGTTAGTGTGTGTATTTATATACTCAAGCAGCTTCTGCTGGTCACAAGATTTGTCTGATTGTTTCTGACATGAAAGCTGTTACCTTGCAGAAATCCCCGTGATCGTTCTGATATACAGAAACCACTCATGAGATCACAAGAAGTGAGTGATGATGAAGATGACTCCAAATTGGCATCATTGTCTGCATCATTGTCACTATTGATCTTACCATCTCTGAAAGAGGTAAGCTTTTATGAGCATTTGGCGTCTTCCTTCTTAATGAGTCGATGGAATCGTCTCCAATGTTGAGAATAAAACGTTTCCGTTCCGAGTTAGAAGCTGCAATCATGTGAATTTCATTTTGACGGATTATTGATTATTGATGTAGGCTCTAGGTGGCAGCGACTCGAAAGGATCTGTTGGACATAGAGTTTCGAGAGCGTTAGTGAACATGGAACGCGAAAAGCCTGGTTCTTGTGAAGCTTTTATTGCCAAACTGATCGAACAGTTGGGAAGGTAAGGGAAAACTCTACGAGA